CCAATGTGAACGGTGCGTGCTGCCTGATTCTGTCTTTGTCGCACCGCATACCACCCGCATGGGCCACTTCCTCGGTGGCGATGTCAATAAGTGACTGCCAGTTACAAAAAATAACAAAATAAATAAGAAACATAAAATGGTAGACCTCCAGCTGTTGCAGCTGCGGTGCGGCGGCGGCGGGGTGGGTGTTGGTGAGGGGAGGAAGCCAATCCGGAGGAAAGCAAGGAACGGAACGGGGCGGGGCGCGGCTGCGCGCGTGCTCTCTCGAGTTATGTGTCCAAGGGACACACGAGAAAATGTCTGGAGCGAAAGATAGCGGGGCCCGTCTTGCCCCGCCCTGCCCCGCCCTGCTCACCGGTGCGGCGGGGCGTGGCGCAGTCCCCTTGCGAGCTTTATGTCTCGGGTTTATGTTTAAACGGCCCCGCTCGGAAGTCACGCAATGGAACGCCAGTGCCTCGCCACGCCACGGCGCGGGGGAGTGGGGTCTCGGCCTGGCTTTGGTTAAGTTTGGCTTCGTGACTGCTGATGACTTACTTGTCCGGGGGGGGGGCGGCTGAGGCTCCGCGTCGCGGAGCTGGATATGATGCTCTGCCGCCCGCGTTTGGCGAGCCGTCAAGGACATGGCAGTTTCACTTTTCATACTTTGGCGCGCTGACAAAAAGTTGTTGGGGGGAATCACGTGGCGGGGGGCAAGAAGGGGGCGGTGAAATGAGGGTGTATTAAATTACTCCTGCGCCGAAACTGGGGAAAAAGCGATCCCGCCCGAAATAATCCTTGCACGTTTTATGGTTTGAGCGGAACGATGAAGGGCTGGTTAATATTGATGGTCCGCGGGGTGGGCCCCGGTCCCAGTGTGCCAGTGTCTCCGAGGGATTGATCGTCTGGGAGCCGAGCCAGCGGTGCGGGGGGCGGGCGGGCGACCGCGCGTCCAAGCCATTCAGGACTGCGTACATCGCGGGCCGGTCGACCTGGAAGCTGCCCCCGATGGTGGTGACGCCGGCCCTGGAAGTCGTTCTGATGGAGGCAAAGTCGGTCCTCTTGGAAGTCGTTCTGACGGTGGCCTGCTCTGGAAATCGCCACGATGCGGTGGAGGCCGGATGCCGCCCCTGGAAGTAATTCTGATGGCAGAGAGGGCCGGGGCGGCGGCGGGCAGCCCTGGAAGTCGATTTGGATGGCGCCTGGTGCCGAGGCTGCCCCCGTCCTACTGATGGCCGAGGGAGACCAGCCCTGCAGCCCTAACGCGACTTCCTCGTGATTGAAAAAGATGAAAGTGCCGGGAAGGAGTGAAGAAAAAAATCGGAAAGTGCGTGATTTACGTGAGTTGATCGCGCGGACGCTTTAAAGTTGTCGTCCTCGTCCCCGGGCGGGCTTGTTCGCCGTGACCTCCACGGGTCGGGCCCCTCCTCCCTCACTGATTTATCGCTACCCTCCAGTGGCCAAGGCTGTGACTGGGGGGAGGGGGGGGGCGAGCAGGCCAGGATATTCCACTGCAGGAGGAAATTCGCCGCGCCTGGCCGTCCCTGCATCCCATTCGTCTGGACGGGCGGCGGGGCAGCGGCGGGCGTTAGCGTCGACGCTCGGCGAAAATGAAGGTAGAACGAGGCGAAAGGCTGGGGGAGTGGTGGGTGGGTGGGGGCGGGGGG